AGTGGCAGGGCGCCCCTCCTCCCACAGCACCGCCCGCCTGGGGGTGTCCATACTGGGCACCCCCTGTGGGGTGGGGGGGCTGTGTCTGGGGCAGGGGGAGGTCCTAGTCGGGGGCGTGTTGAGTGGGAGGTGCTGGAGACACTGGGGGGGGGCTGGGTCAGGCTGGACTAGAGATCACTGCCAGTATGATCCCGCAAGGGGTCTAGATTCATTGGGATGAGGGGCTGTTAGGGACCCAATCAGCTCGATCACCCTAGAGGAGTGATCTGGGGGGGAGGTGAACGTTGCCCCCCTCTTTGGGTTAGCCTGGGGTTGCCTGCTGTCACTTGCAGGAGTGTTTGTGTTGTCTCTGGGCTAGGCTGAATCTCCTCCCATTCCGGGCAGAATGAGGTTCAACTTTCTATCCCCCTTTGGAAAGTGGAAAACGAGCCCTGCCTTTCTGTGCTGCTCACCTTCTGTTTTCTGCTGTTGGGGCGTAACGCTGATTGCTGAACATTCTTGGGAGGATGGAGCTGCCCCCTCCCCGTGTCTCCTGATATCCCAGCAAAATGGGTTTCCGGACTTCAGTTCCTGTGTCCCAGAAGGGATGCAGTGGCCATACGGCTGCACTCTTATCTGCCCCTTCGCTGTGTAATCTGTGTGTCAACCGTATCAAACAGCCGCTCCTGAGCTATAGGACAAGCAGGATGGAGATGTAAAGTGCCTCTGCTCAAATCTTTGCAGCTCGAAAGTCCACGCAGTGCTCTTTTGGGTGGGGGTTCGTCTTGCTTGGCTGCAGTAGCCGCTGTGCAGTGGCAGGTGTTCCACCCTTAAAGAACCGGTTCTGTGTCTCTTGGTTGCAGGCTGCCCCGGTAACACGTCCCTCGGTGAGTGTCTGGCAGCAGGGATGGGACGTTGGACCTCTGGGTTAGAAAAGCATGGAGCTTGCTGCCTGAACTAAAAGACCCAAATTGTAGCAAGCTCGGAAATGGCCCAGGCACCACTAGGGGGTGACAGAATGACAAATGGACATTTATTTGCAAGAAATGATATTGAAACTTTCCACAAGACCCCAAGTGTTTGCTCTTCGACGTGGCAGTTGCAGGGTTGTAGCTACCAGTCGCTCAGTGACAACACCGGGTGATGCCCATGAGTCAGCAGCAGAATGAGGCATTGAGTGCTTACGGGAGGGAGTCGGAGCAGCCCAGCTCCATTGTTGTAGGGGTGTGTTTCTCACTGCAGGGATGGGCCTGGGAAGGAGACCTGTGTTTTTGTGTCTTCCCCATTTTACAGAGAGGAAGTGCATTGCCCAGAGTTGCAAAGTGAGTCAGTGCCAGCTCTAGGAGCAGAGCCTAGGACTCGAAATTCTCTGAGTTCACTAGGCCGCACACTTCCTTCGTGCCGCCGCGTGGGAGAAGCCTGTCTCGCACGCGTGAACAAGCGTGGTGTGAGAAGTAACACAAAAGCTCATCATCTAATAAACCATCTTGTTAGTCTTTAAAGTGCTACATAGCCCTGTATTTTGTTTCAACTTCCTTTACCGAGTGCCTGACCCAAAGGGAAGTTGCTGTGTTGGCTACACACATCTGAGCTTGTGTTCCCTTTCTCTCTTCTCGGACAGGGCGTTTTTCTGGCTCGTTTCCCTACTACTGGCCTCCTTGATTTGGTTCATTTCGGTGCATCTCAGCAATCGGGAGGATTCCAGGCTGCAGTACGGCCTGCTGGTGTTCGGGGCTGCCGTGTCGGTGCTGCTCCAGGAGGCCTTTCGATTTGCCTACTTCAAGCTACTCAAGTAAGAAAACCCTGCTAGGAGCAGGCTGATCCCTCTTCTCTCCCTCCCCACCCCCCCAAGAAAGGGGACTCTGAGACTGCCCTCCTTGATAAAGGGCTTGGAGAGCTGATGAAAAGCCCTAGCTAAGAGCTAGGGGGGATTATTAGGAACCGTAGCTGGCACCTGATTGTAGAACCCGCTCCCAAGTGTTGCCCCCCTGTGTCTTCCTCCTGGATCCTGTCAATTGGTTGCTCTTTTTCTCTGCCGCCTGCTTGATAAATGCCTCATCCGCTGGCCTGTTGCCAGACCCCCTTCCTGTCCATCTCCTGCTTCAAACCCATCGGTTGCCATCTTCTTTCTCTGACCCCAGGAAAGCCGACGAAGGCTTGGCAACGCTCAGTGAGGATGGGCAATCTCCCATCTCCCTCAAGCAGATGGCCTATGGTGAGTACGCTGCAATTCTTGTGTTCCAGAAGGGACACGATGGCCGCACGACTGCACTCGTATCTGCCCCTTAGCTGTGTAATCCGTGTCTCAGCCGCATAGGCTATCTTCTTTCTCTGACCCCAGGAAAGCCGACGAAGGCTTGGCAACGCTCAGTGAGGATGGGCAATCTCCCATCTCCCTCAAGCAGATGGCCTATGGTGAGTACGCTGCAATTCTTGTGTTCCAGAAGGGACACGATGGCCGCACGACTGCACTCGTATCTGCCCCTTAGCTGTGTAATCCGTGTCTCAGCCGCATAGGCTGGGTGACTCGGCCTCGGTGCTGCAATCGCTGGCTGGCTGTCCTGCTTCCCTCTGTTAATGCCTGCCCCTCACCGGTAGCTTTGGCGAGGGCTGAGGGCCCCTCTCCCTCCCCTTGCTAGCCCTGCCGCAGAACCGCTGGAGGTGTTGAATTCTCCAGGCACCTCTGGCTGGGAGAGCAGGGATCCTGTGGAACGTGCTGTGAAACTCTCCTGTGCTTGTCAGTCGAGTCCAACGCTCATTGTGGTGTTTCACGCAGCCATGGGTAACTTCGGCGCTGTCGGTCACGCTCCTCTTCCTCCCCCTAGTGTCGGGGCTGTCCTTCGGGATCATCAGTGGGGTCTTCTCGGTCATTAACATCCTGGCGGACTCCGTAGGGCCGGGCGTCGTCGGGATCCACGGGGATTCGACGTATTACTTCATCACGTCAGGTAAGGTAGGAGCCCCTATGCTCTTGGGAAGGAGGGCTGCTCTGGGGATGGATGGCAGGGCTCGCAGCCAGCCTGAGTGGCTTGTGGTCCACTGGAGTGCTAGCGCTGAGGTTTTTAAACACCAGGTGGTGCCCTTTATTGGCTTGGGCTCAGAGCCTGGGTCAAACGCAGCATCAGGAAGCAGCTTTCTCTCCAGCGGTAGAAGATCAGCTACACCCAGAGGAGACAGTTGGGGCACGAGGCAAAACTGCCCTGTTCTTCCCTGTCAATGTCTTACCACAGCGGCATCCATCTTGGGAGGCAGTGCTGTCTACTGGTTAGAGCAGGAAACCAGGAGTCTAGAGCGCCACGGTTAATGCTGACCCCACTGGCTTTTGACTTCAGTGGGGCTGGGGTTCCAGTCCCACTTCCACCAGTGACGCGTTGCGTGACCTCGGGCCCTCGCTAAAAACGTGGCTGCCTGTTGGTGGGGCTCTCCATAGCCTGGAGGGGCCTGCTTGCGGCTACAGCTGCGCATCGCCCCTAGAGTCACTCATGATCCCCATAAAGATGGGGAGGGGGATTTCGCCCCAAATTCATCCCTTCTCCCAGCTTCCGCTGGAGAAATGATTCCCACCTCCTCCTGCTGCGGGGTGATTGCTGGGCTCCGCACCAGAGGTGGCCGCATTTCAGGAGCTGGTGCACAACCCTGTCTGCCCAATGCTTGGGGATCCTCCAGGCAGAAGGCGCTGTGGAGGGGGGGAGCCTGCAGTGTCCTGGTGCTGTTGTGACTGGACTCTCCTCCCAGCGTTCCTGACCATGGCCATCGTCTTCCTGCACACCTTCTGGGGGGTGGTCTTCTTTGACGCCTGCGAGAATCGGCGCTACTGGCCCGTGGCGCTGGTGGTGGCCAGTCACCTTGTCACGTCCGGGTTGGTGAGTGGGGCTGAAATCAGCGATCGGATACCCTGGGGATGGCCGGCTCTGCGGGGCTAGCTGGCCCGGCCCTGTGCTTTCAGGGGAGGGGGGAGATTTGGCGGGGCTGCGGCGGCCAGGAAGAGTGCTCTTGTCTCCTGAAATGCCCTAAGAGCTCACTCGGATCCGGTGGCTGCACGGGCGAGTCTCTCCTGTTCTGCCCCTCCCCCTGCGGCGGCTGATCCTGGCACGCTCGAGAGGCGATGGGGGAGGGGAGGGCTTGAGCCCTGTTAATAGCGCACTCGCGGATCCCGCAGGCCTCTGGCGAGGGGCTTTGCGTTGTGCACTAAGCTCGCTGGGCAGGGATCAGCGCGGCTCTGCTGGGTGGGGGGCGGGCGTGGCGC